TTAGTAGAGACGGGGTTTCACCATGTTGGCCAGGATGGTCTCAATCTCTTGACCTCGTGATCCACCCGCCTCAGCCTCCCAAAGTGCTGGGATTACAGGCGTGAGCCACCGCGCCCGGCCAATTTTTGTATTTTCAATAGAGTCAGGGTTTAACCATCTTGGCCAAGCTGGTCTTGAACTCCTGACCTCGTGATCCACCCGCCTCAGCCTTGCAAAGTGCTGGGATCACAGGCGTGAGCCACCGCGCCCAGCCAGGCACACTATTCTTTACCCGGCAGCATCAGAGGTGCTCACCTGAGGAAAGTCCTCACTGTCCATGGCCTGCAGAGTCTGGTTGGCCGTCTCTAGAAGCTCCTCAGAGCTCTCCAGGGCCCGCGTGCAGGCAGCCAGCTGGTTCTGTGGACACCAGGCACACAAAGAGGAGACAAGTCACTCTACTGCCTCAGGCCCCCCAAGGGCTCCTCACCCCCTTCAGGGTCCAGGGTACCATGCCCTTCTCGAACTCCAGGTGGGAGATGGATGTTGGAGCCTCAAGGGCCCCATCAAATTGGGCCAGGCTCTTGGGAGTATAGAAGTAAACCCTGGAAATCCCTTCCTTAAACACTCACAAGAGGTTGGGTGGGTGGTTCACGCCTGTAATTCCAGTACTTTGGGAGGCCAAGGCGGGAGGATCACCTGAGGTCAGGAGTTCATGACTACCCTGGCCACCATGGTGAAACCCCATCTCTACTAAAAGTGGAAAAACAAGGCTGGGCATGGTGGCTCACGCCTGTAATCCCAGCACTTTGGGAGGCCAAGGTGGGCGGATCACAAGGTCAGGAGTTTGAGACCAGCCTGGCCAATATGGTGAAACCCTGTCTCTACTAAAATTACAAAAAAAATCTGCCAGGCATGGTGGTGGCAGGTGCCTGTAATTCCAGCTACTCAGGAGGCTAAAACAGGAGAATCACTTGAACCCGGGAGGCAGGGGTTGTAGTGGGCTGAGATTATGCCATTGCACTCCAGCCTCGGTGACAAGAATGAAACTCCATCTCAAAAAAACAAACAGACACACAAAAATTAGCTGGGCATGGTGGCGGGTGCTTGTAATCCCAGATACTCTGGAGGCTGAGGTAAGAGAATCACTTGAACCTGGTGGGAGAAAGTTGCAGTAAGCTGAGATTGCACCACTGCACCCCAGCCTGGGCAACAGAGCGGGACTCCGTCTCAGAAAAACAAACCAAAAACTCACATGAGCCAGGAACAGGGGCTCACCCCTGTAATTCCAGCACTTTGAGAGGCCAAGGCAAGAGGATTGCTTGAGCCCAGGAGTTCCAGACTAGTCTAGACAACATAGTGAAAACCAGTCTCCACCAAAAAATACAAAAATTAGCTGGGTGTGGTGGCCCGCTTCTGCAGTCCCAGCTACTTGGGAGGCTGAGGCGGGAGAATCGCTTGAGCCTGAAAGGTGGAGCCTGCAGTGAGCCAGGATTGCACCACTGCATTCCAGTCTGGGTGACAGAACAAGACTCTGTCTCAAAACACAAACAAACCAAAAACTCACATTCCCAGGCCACACCCAGGCTTCTGGGCTCCTGTTCCTTCTGGGACAGGAATCTGCCATGTCAGGAGGTGCCCAGGAGGTCTGGATGCAGCCTGAGTGACCCCAGCTTGGAGTCTGAGTCAGAGCCCATGGAAACCATGGAATGTGTTTGAGTGGAGGTAATGCCTTCAGATCTAGGGGACCAGTGGGAAGGAGTGAGAAACTGGAGGCGCTGAGGGAAGACAGGAGGGTGAAGATCTGAGCTAGACATGGGGGCACCATGATGGAAAGGAGATTCAGAGAGAGCACAGGTGGGCCAGGTGAGCTGGCTCATGCCTGTAATCCCAGCACGTTGGGAGGGTGAGACGAGAGGATGACCTCAGGTCAGTAGTTCAAGACCAGCCTGGACAACACAGTGAAACCCCATCTCTACTAAAAATATGAAAATTAGCCTAGCATGGTGGCAGGTTCCTGTAATTGCAGCTACTCAGAAGGCTGAGGCAGGAGAATCACTTGAACCACCTGAGAGGCGGAGGTTGCAGTGAACCGAGATCATGCCACTGCACTTCAGCCTGGATGACGGAGTGAGACCTCTGTCTCAAAAATAAAGAGAGAGCGCAGGTAGATGTCAGGTTGATGAGTCCATGGACAGGAAGGGGCCAGGGGAGAGATCAGAAACTCAACAGCTCCCGGTTTTGGAGAAAGATGCCCAGGCCACCTATGCTCTGTTGAGTGGGAAAGGCGGGAGGGGAGGAGGATGCCCCCAACCCTCACCTGCAGCTCATAGGTACGGCTGGCACGGTCCTGTTTTATCTTCATAAGCATGCCTTCTTTCAGCTCCTCCAGGAGGGAGAAGAGGGACTGGAACTCCGCTTCGAGGTCTTCTTGCACCTTTGCCGAGTTTGCCTGGCTCGGAACAGCCAGGATTGGCCAAAGCCCATGTACAGAGGGGGAAACTGAGGCCTCCCACAGGTATCAACAGCAATGGGCCAGTTCCTACAGCTGTATCCTGTGCCTCCCTCCACCCGCCGCCCCAGGACTCCCCCAGGACTCCCCCACCGCCTTCACCTCCACATTCAACAGCATCTGTTTCAGGGAGTAGATAAAGCTCTGAATTTCTTCATTCTTCACGGCCAGTGTTGTGATGATCTTCCTCAGGGCCTCCTGCACCACCAGAAGTGTGGACACATACATGTGCATACACGTACACCCACATGTGCACACACACATACACACGTGCACACACACGTGGCAGGCAGATGAGCCCCTCAGCCTGACCAGGCTCTTCCCTGTAGGGTCAGCGCTCCCCTACAGGGATCCAGAGACAGCTATCAAGCTTGTGCACCAGCCAACAGGTGAAGCTCTGGACTGATACAACTCACCTATAGCAGCTGGGAGCCCTAAGCAACCCCATATTACAGGAGAGAAAACTGAGGCTCAAAGAGAACGTCTCAGGAAGGGAAACAACCCGCCCCCAAACCAGGCCTGCCCGAGCACAAAGGCTACAACCCGTCACCTGCAACCTGAAGGTGGGGCGCGAGGGGCCACCCTGGGGACAGAAAACCCCAGAGGAAAAGGATGCCTTTTGGAAAATGGGCTAACCTGGGGAAAGGGTTCTTGGTGGAAGGAAAAACCGTAGGGAAGTGGGATAGCCTGGGACAGGCTACCCACTGGGACAGGCTAGCCTCGCAACAGGGGTGAGCCAGAGAAGGGGAACCCCTGAGGATGGGGCCTACCTGGGGGAGAAGGATAAGCAAGAAAAAAGAAATTACCTGGGCAAAAAAGTGGAACCTGGGAGTCCGAGATGCGGGGCCCCTGGTAAGCGGGGAGGGGGCAGGGAGTCCTGGGGGAAGGGCAGGGGATTCTGGGAGGGAGGATCCTGCTCGGGGCCCCTTGCTCTGACCCACGCTTCCGACGGGCTCGTTTTCACGGGGGCAGGGTCGGTGGGGTCCGCACTGCGGAGCTGGCGTGGCGTCCTCCGGGCGTGGGGCGGGGGCTGGGACGCCTGGTCCGCGGCCGGGAGGGAGGGCGTGGGGGATGGGGGTCCGGGCTGGGACTTGGATATTGGGTGGGTTGGGGGGAGTGTAGAGGGCACGAATCTGGCGCCAAGCCAACATGGGGGGCGCTGCGTCCCAAACTAGAGTATGGGGGCTAAATCCGGGCGGGGTCGCGACGGGGTGGGGCCGCGGCCGCGGAGCAGCTGGGGCGGAGGCGTGGGGGGGGCGCGCTGCGGTAACACCTGGTCCCCTCCCCCGCCCCCGACGCCCGGCCCCGCCCCGCCCCGTCCTACCCTCTGTTCTTCCATGGCTGCAGCCCAGGTCACTCCGGCCCGGCCCGCGGGCCCCGCGCACTCTGGGTCCCCAAGCTGCCTTTGCCGCGGCCGGTAGCCAATGGCCCGCCGAGCCCTCGCCGCCGCCGCGCCCCCGGTTAGCGCTCCATCACCGCGCGTACTGCGCAGGCGCGGCCGCCGCGGCCGCCTGGGAAATGTAGTTCCGCGCTGGGCTCGCCCAGAGCCCGCACGTCCAGCACCTGGGGCTCACCGGGCGCTGTTGGTGGTAACATGTAAGCTGGAGAGAGCCCTGGATCAGAAGACAGGGGGCTCGACCCCCAGCCCTGCCGTGGGACCTCAGAATCATCTCTAGAGATCCTGTGCCTCAGTTTCCCCACTTGTTCACCCACACATGTTATTCGTTGCTACTCAAATTGTCTAGCCTGCCTTCTCGTGCCTTGCATTTGCTGAAAATCTAAGGCTGTTGCCCAAGAGGGTGTTCAGCCTCTAATGCCTTCTTTCCATTTGTCCCTATGTTACAACTGAACTCCTATACACCCCACAAAGCCCCAGGCTCCAACAGCTCCTCCAGAAGTCTTCATGCCAGCCCAGGCACGGAAGCTAAGAATGTCTGTGTCCAGCTCTGGAAGGGCCTAGGGCCTAATCTATCCAGGGTCCCTCAGCAGAGGGAGGGGGGATGGGTGGAGCTTCAGAATGTTCTGGGGAGGGGAAGGAGTGGGCAGGGGAGGCTGGGAGGGTGTGTGTGTCTGCTGGGGACGTGAGGCACAGCCACCGCAGGGCCCTCCCTGTGGTCAGGAGGAACGCGGTGGATGATGTAGGCCTTCTGGGTCCCAGTGAGAAAGGAGGTCACTCTGCAGTTGAGTCTGAGAAGTTGAGGTCTGTGGGTTCGCCACCTCCTCCCAGAAGGCACTACAGAATCAGGGGTGGGGGGTGCAGAACTGTAAGGAACTCGAGCCCATGAACCTCCTCCACGGGACCCCCAAGCTTCTCCCAGGCCATGTAATAGGACCCAAAATTATTAACAGATATCTATTTCTCTGAACCGCAAAGGAAAACTTTATTATTATTAATATTTTTGAGATGGAGTCTCACTCTGTTGCCCAGGCTGGAGTGCAGTGGTGCGATCTCCACTCACTGCAACCTCCACCTCCTGGGTTCAAGCGATTCTCCTGCCTCAGCCTCCTGAGTAGCTGGGATTACAGGCGCCTGCTACCACGCCCAGCTAATTTTTGTATTTTTGGTAGACACGGGGTTTCACCAAGTTGGTCAGGATGGTCTTGAACTCCTGACCTCATGATCATCCTGCCTCAGCCTCCCAAAGTGCTGGCATTACAGGCATGAGTCACTGAACCCATCTTTTTT